GCCAAATCTCTTACTTAAGATGACCTCTTACCTTAAGAACTTTTTCTTTATCACCCATCATTAGCAATGATCTTTTTCCTAATATAATGATCACGTGGTCGGCATTTATTGTTGTACCGTTGATATTGACGCACTGAGCAGCTGGAATTATTGCAATATTTCAAATATTATATAAAGACATTTGTAATCATTTAATCAACGGTATTATTTCTTTTTTTATTATATTAAATTGCTCCAAGAAGTTTTAATATTTATCAATCACTTTCTGTCTTAGAAAAATTAAGCAATACGAAAATTTAGAATAGCGCCATCTAGTTTAAATAATGTGAAATAAGTATTGTTTTGGAATAGTATATATCGTTATCTCTTTTTCGTCAAAGGTAATGACGGAGATGACGATATGTTTTATAAAGAAATTTTAGTATCAGAAATCAACAGTTATTCAACAACTTTTAAACCGATTTCAAAATATATTCAACAGTAGATAGCTGTTTTATTAAAGGGTTAGTTTTGTATGTCTGTTTAGTTATATCAGGACAGGCGACTTTGGTGATCTCTTGTCAGAGACCAGGGGGATTATACAAGTGACAATGAAATTGGCGCGCGACAATCACGTGACTTATCGATAGTTATTTTCAATTCTTTACATTTTTGAAGTTCGTTATAGTATCGCTTCGAAGCGAATGCACTTTGTTTAACCCCACAAGACTCATTTTAAGAGTTTATTTATGTATATCTGTAGATTGTTAAACAACTCACATGTAAGTATTGTCTTTTCGTTCAGCAATACTCCATCGCAGTAATAATCAAACTGATCACTGGTTCCATTCTTCAAGAAGATTGTCGCAATCCAGGGGAACACCGTACTTGCTATATCATTGCTGGAGTTGAAGTTGCACTGGTCGTTTGGCTGTAGACAAGTTATAAACAAAATGCAATAAAGACAAGCTAGCTCTAGAGATAAGTCGCTGCATAAGCGTTACCAGGCGTCCGGATAAAGCCGGACATAGATAGACTTTTTGAATGCATGTCCGACCAAAATAAATCCGGGTTGTCCGGCGTTTTTTTAGGCTTTTTAAATATCGCAAACGAGAGTTGCCGAAGGCCTTAATAATGTAGGGCGTCGGTCCTTTCTACTGAAATGTCCGGCCAAATTGGATATTTGAGAACTTCGGTCTAATAGTTCAAGAGCTTAGCTTCGACTTAAAAGAAAGTCGTGTTAGTTACACTATTTATAACTCAAGTACGGTTTTACCGATATGGCTGAAAATTGGTGAGGAGGTAGCTTAGAGCCAGGAGACGGACATAGGATACTATTTTTTTTCGAATTTATGCCTTGAAGAGCTGCTTTTTATTTAACTTACTAATATTATAAATGCGACTGTTTAGATGGATGGATGGGTGTTTAAAGATGTGTATATCTCTAGAACAGCTGACCGGATCACGATTAAATTTGGCATACGTATAGAACATAGTCTGAAAGAACATATAGGCTACATTAATTAAGTTTTTTCATATATCCACGCGGACGGAATCGCGGGCGACAGCTAGTTGTAAAGAAATATATTGAAATAGTTGAAAATGCAATTTCA